GTCGAGTTCAAAGTAAATGGTGTGTTCGCTGTCGACAATCCTGTCTGTCTGAGAGATGGAGAATGTTGACTGCCCCGCAATGAATCTGCAGTAGTGGTCTGTCTTGACAATCACTTGGAATCCCAGTCGCTGGTAGAACTCGAGTGATTGCTGGATGCTTCTCGCTGGAAGTGTCACTTGGTTGAGAATCATGAGGCAAGTTGTCTGGCAACATCCGAGATCGTGTCTGGAGTCAGTCCAAGTCGCAGGGCTTCTCTCAGCAACTGCTCTAGATGCACTTGCTCAAACAGCTGCTCTAGAATCAGATGATGAACCTGGATGCAGGAACGGATGCTGCAACAGCCTCTCGATCGTGACTCTCTGTTTGGGCTCTCTCACCAGACAGGCCTGCATGATCTCCCTCAGACTCCTGGTGACTGTGTCTGGATACTGTATCGTATACTGCGGACTCACAATCGCAAAGAACTTCTTGGCCATCGGCAGATTGCCAAAGGGAGGGCTGCCATAGCAGAATCTGTACAGAATGCATCCCAGAGACCACACATCTGATGCCCTGCCCTGCTTGAGATAGGTTCCTCTTGGACCATCTTGCTCCGCGAATTGCAGTGCTTCTGGTGCCATGTAGTTGACTGTGCCAGTCTGGTAGTCTCTTTTGATATTCGTGGTGTCGTTTGGAATGGATTTTGCAATGCCAAAGTCGATCAGTTTCAAGCATCCCTCCACCAGCAGGAAATTGGCCGGCTTGAGATCAGAATGGATGATGTTCTGCTTGTGGATGGCATCCACTGCCTGCAGCATCTGTTCCCAGCAGTTTCTGATGAAATTGAGTGACATTTTGTTGTTTTGTCGCTGCAAGAGCTGATCCAGGTCGATTTCACCGTATTCAAGCACCATCACGAGTTCGCCATTGAGATCTGTCTGAGAATCATACAGTTTGATGATGCGGTCGCTGTCTTGGAGACTCTTGAGGATTTCAATTTCGTTCAAGTAGCCCTCGACCACTGCTGGATCTTGCTTTTGTAGCTTGACTCTCTTGAGTGCGTAGACTCTGCCAGATGCATCGAGTACCTTGAAGACTTTGGAGCTGCCTCCCTTTCCAATCAGATCGATTCTCTGGTATTCGACACCGTTCACTTTGAAGAACGGCTTCTTTTCTCTGTCGCTCTCCTGTCTGTCCAGCAGTCTTTCTTGTTGTCTGTCCACAGTCTCTGGTGGATTGACAGCTGTCTGATTGACAGATATCGGAAGAGATGGCTGGCTGGCAGTTGCTGCAACAGGTGGCTGATTAAAAGATACTGCAACAGTTGGCTGACTGGCAGACGGCTGGTTGACGGACAGACTGTTGGAGAGGTCACTAGATTGCCATTCAATGTTGTCAAAGGTCCTCCAATCCTGCTTGTCTCCAGTGCTTTCAAACACATTCGAGTGATCCACAGCTATCACACTCTGATTCGTGGTAATGTCCATCTCCTCTTGCTTGGGCGAGTCAGTCAATGCCGGAGACAGTGGTCGTGACTTTTCAGAGCTCTGCGTGTCTTCTTGCTCCGACTTTTTGGATCTTGCGGGTGGTCCCAGTCCCAATCTGCCAATCTTGCGTCCTCTGAGATGGTTGAAGACTGGTGTTTGCTTCACCTCGGACAGTTCAAGTGTCTTTGCTCTTCCCAGTGCAGATCCCCTCATTGGCGTCTCTCTCTCCAGAGATCTCAGTGGCTCTCTCTCGACTGGTTTCAACGGTTCTCTCTCCAGAGATCTCAGAGGCTCACGGTCAACAGACTTGAGAGACAGACTCTGGGTCACTCTCAGCGGTGTCTTTTCAGACAGCTTTGGTGCCTCATCTGACTGTGAGCGCGTCAACGGCTGCAATGGCTTTCTCGGCAGTTTTTCAAGTGCTTGTTCAATCCTTGACTTGCTCTCAACCACTTCCAAGGCCTCCTCCAGGATCTTGCGTGCTCTCAGTGGAAATCCATAAGATTCTTGGATATCTGCCCAAGCCAAGTACAGTGCTGGATGCTTGGTTCCTATCTGGTTTCTTTTAAGGTACTCTAGTCTCTCCATGACTCTGTCATATCCCATGCCAGTCTTGCGCTCCAAGTGAACGAGTTCAATCCAGATTCTCAGCAGCAGTGGATCCTCTCTGTGTTTCTCGACTGATATCTCCTTTGCTGCCTTTTCCAGTAGTTTCAGCAACTGTTGTTTGTCCAGTTTGTGTCTCTGTTGTTCTATCTGTGCGAAGCAGTGCGTTGGATCCATCAAAAGTTTGCGACAAAGATGGCAACTCCAAATGCTACGCAAAGACTCGTAACGTATGTGACATCAAAGGAATTCAGAACTTACCTGATGTCGACCCACTTTTGGGGACCTGTTGCTAACTGGGGTCTTCCGATGGCTGCGATCGCTGACACTCGCAAATCAGAAGAGTTGATTTCAGGAAACATGACACTAGCATTGTCTCTTTACTCGATCTTGTTCATGCGATTTGCAGTCAAAGTCCAGCCAAGAAACATGTTGCTGTTTGCAGTCCATGCCACGAATGAGTGCGCGCAGTTGTACCAAGGCTATCGATACATGAACTACCACTACTGGGGTGGCAAGGAGAAGAAGGCTACTCCCGCATAAACATATCGTCTGCCAGATCACTCAGTTGATCCTTGTTTGGTGCATCTGGATGCCAACCAACGAGCAGCAGATTGCGCTTTTGGATTCTGAGACAGTCTTGGTGCTTGGTCATCTTCTCGTAGCATTGGCGAACAAACCTCTCTTGTGTCCAACTTGACAAGCACAGTTGCAAGTCTAGTCCAAGGTCTGCACAGTTTCTGACAGCCTGTTTCTCTAGTTGTACTTTGACTGCAAGCGGTGGATGTATTTTCGCTGCCTCTTCGTCCATACTTTTGGATTGTTCCTTGGAGATTCTTTCCAACATCACAAACGATGGAAACTTTTACGTTGGAGCAGACACTGGATGATCTGACCAGGTTTGGATGATAACAAGAGCAGATTCATCATCAATGTACCGGACGAGGAGCTCTCATCCATCCAGAGGGTCTGTTTCCAGATTGAACAGGCGCACTGGTTCTATATGGACTTTTGCAGACTTGTGAACCCACAACTCCCATCACACAATCTCAAACACTTTTCTCTCTTGTGTTTCAAGCACTGTCCTCTTCTGAGACATTGGACAAAGGATTTTGATGGTGCCTTTCAGAAGTTTATGCAGTACAAGACAAGTGTTCCTGTCTGTGGTGCGATTCTCTTGAACCCGGATCTGTCCAAGATCCTGTTGGTGCGTGGTTGGAAAGCGAACGCTTCTTGGGGATTTCCAAAGGGCAAGATCAACAAAGATGAGCCAGAAACCATGTGTGCAATTAGAGAAGTATTATGATTGATGCAAGGTCTTTGAAGAGACTGGATTTGACTGTTCTCCCTTCATCAGACAGAACGAATACATTGAACGCAAGATGAACGATCAAAAGTCGAGACTCTACATCATCTCTGGTATCAGCGAAGACACTCGTTTTGTGACACAAACGAGAAAGGAAATTGGCGTACTTTGCTTGATTCAAGGACATTCAGTGGCATCCCATCTCATCTATCCCACTGCCTGGCAAGGGAGGCGAATCAGACACCAGGACAACACAGAGTGGATCCAAAAAGTTCTACATGGTCTCTCCTTACATCCCAGCACTGAAGAAATGGATTCGCAGATTCAAACGTGCACGACAGCAAGGCAAAGAAAGAAACACTGCAGATCTCAAAGTCGTGGATGATCAAACAGAAGATTCTGATACTGGCGCACAATCAGAGACCGTTGATCGTTACAGCTGGACTCAGAATCGCAACGCACAAGAATACAAAGTGTCTCATACAGATGTGCTCGATTTGACATCTTCTATCAAGAACATGCTTGGATTAGAACCTCAAGAACAACTGGAGATTGAGGAAGTTCAGTCTCCAGATGTTCAAGATGTGCCAATGCCACACTTTGACCATCCAACGATCGTTCAAGGAGTCGATCTTGAATCTGCTTTCCATCCTAAATCTAAAAAGAAATCAGGCAAAAAGGTCAAAGTCAGCCAGATTCTGACCAAAAAGGAAACCAAATCTCAGGAACTGATGTCTCTGTTGATGGGCAGTCCTACGCCTGATCCACCTGCTGAACCAATCATTTCTGACAAGACAGATGAACAGAGTCAATCCAACATCGAATCTGGACCTGAAAAGACTGTCAGAAAGAAGAAATCTGGCAAAAAAGGTTCAATCCAGACCCGTGAAAAGAAACAGAAAGAAGTAGTTGAAGTGCTTGAGACTCAAGTCCAAGAAAAGGAGCCACCAAAGGAAGAGCTGCCACAAGAAAAACAGAATCTCTTGAGTTTGCTTCTCAGAGGACCACAGAACAAGGATGACAGCACACAGACGGACAGCATCGAAACACAGCCCAATCCACTGCTGAGTCTCTTGATCAAACCACAAGATACCCAGAAGAATGACAAGAAGCAGTTGACAGATCTCCTGCTTGGCAAGACGTCTATTTCACCAGAGATCCTTCAAACGCGATCCTCTGCCATCCAGTCTCCACAAGCTGTTCATGCATCAGTCAAAGCAAAGCAGCCTGTTGTGCAGCCACCATCAAAACAAAACAAGATCGAATCCATCGAGACGCAAGAGCTTGAAACAAGTGCACCAACATTCGTAACAACAGTCAGTACCCAAGGCACTCAAAAGCAGTCAGATGCCCTCCTGTCTCTCTTGCTTGGAAAGGAAAAGCAACTGACAACCCAAGTCTCTCTATTAGATGCGATTGCAGAGCCTTCTCCATCCATCGTTCAGCAAACGAGGAAAAAGAGTGATGACTCTGAAAAATCAAAGCTGCTGAGTCTCTTGCTTGGTAAAAAGTAAAATCTGCTTTGAGCCATTCGAAATTGTCCGAAAATTGGGTAGATTCATGTGGAAAATTATCCATGCAGTTTAGGAATGTGTAAAAATGTGAAAACTCATTAACATGTGCTTTCTTGGCTCAGTCGGTAGAGCGTAGGTCTCATAATCCTAAGGTCGTGAGTTCGATTCTCACAGAAAGCACTGTTTTTCTCTTTTTCCTGTTTTGTCCCTCAATTCTTTTGTGCTACTGTATGAAGATGTCATGATTCCTATTTGTACTGATACACGAACCAATGGCAAACTATATTTTGAAGCAAGAGAAATCAATCATCAAGATTTAGTGGGGGTAATGGCTGATCGACTGTAATTTTTGTATCATCTGATGGCTGCACTTGCGGTGTGGCATTGGTTGAAGTGAAAACAGGTTCTGGGGTTCTGAGGAGAATCTGTGCTGGCACAAGCGTTTTCAGCTTCTTCTTTGGCGGCTCCTTTTTGTCAAAGATGGATGTGGGGAGTGTGATCTTGTGTGGACTCTGTTGGACACGTTTCAGCAATGGCTCTCGTTCATCTGCTTCTTCGTGGATGCTGTCGAGTGTGAGTCTGCGATAGTGTTCCGCAGCAGTGACTTTGACTTTTGAGCTCATGTCAATGTAAACATCTGTTTCGTCTATAATCTGGTGTCAGACGAGATACCTCCTCTCCCAAGAGCTCTTCAATCACGTCTTCGAGTGTGACTATTCCCACTGTCTTGTAGAGCTTGTTATCTGCATTCTCAGATGTCCAGAGAGGAGAACTTGATACAAATTGATCAGACGATGATTCAACTGGTTCCACCACCGCAGCCATGTGTGAACCACCTGTTTCAAAAATGTGCAGCATTTCAAAGAGTGCAGTGTCGACATGCACTCTTGGCAGACGTCTCAAACGCAAACTGGAAATAGGGATCTTGTCATCTGGATCATTCAAGATCAATTGCTTCACAAGAACAACGCCAACGTAATGTGTTTGATCCTCATCAGCACATATGGGAATCCTAGAGTGGCCAGCCGTGAGTATCTGATGGAGTGTTTTGCGATCCAAAAGTGTTGAGATTGGGAGTGAGAAGACATCTTGTTGATTGGTCATGATGTTTGCCACTGTCTTTTCTCTAAGATCCAAGACAGCTTTGAGAACACTGACTTCATCCTTTGACAATGGACCTGCTTGGTCTTCGCCATGCAGAGCAACAAGCTCCTTGAGTTCCGCGTGTCTGTAGATCATGCCGTGGTCATGACCCAATAGATAATCCAAGAGTGTTGCAATGGGATAGGCAATCATCCACATCAAAAACATCAGTAAACGGACTGGATAGGCAAAGAAAGCCCCAATTTCCAGTCCATATCTATTGCACAATGCTTGTGGGATGATTTCACCAAACAACAACACCAACACGACTGAGCACAGGACAGCATTGATGCCAGTCATGTGTATGTAGTCAAACAAGATGGGAAGTGTTTCGTTGACGAGTGTGTTGACCAACAACAGTGTCACTAATAACAAGTGTCCATTCTTGCGTATGGGTTCAATCCTGGATGCATATAGTTTCTGTTTTGGTGTGCCAGAAGACTTGAGAATAGTCAAATTGGTGTTATCCAGTGACATCAGTCCAATTGTCAATCCAGCAACAATGCCACCCACAATCACAAGTACAATGATGAGACTGATAGCAGAGTAGAATTCAAAGTCTGTTAATGGTTCCAAGTGCACTTTTTTAGCCTCCACAGCTTGGAGGAGCAAAAGCATTCAAAGCAGAAAAGTGTCAAGCAACGATTTTGAGCTTTGGTTCAAATCGGTTTTACTTTCTCTTGGAAATCATACGATTGAGTGCTTTCTTGGCTTCGCAGTCTGGAAAGTAGCGCAGATCATAGTATTCTGGTGCCAATTCCAACAGCCACTCGCCCTTGATCTGTGTGCATGTACGAATGTAGTTCTTGGTCGTGAGAACGTATTCGTTGTACAAGACCCACTTGGGCTTGGTGTTGAGACAGCATGACGGATGCAAGAGCACAGATTGGTTGTCCTTGATTGTCAAGTACTGCCCTCCCTTTTCCAGATAGCCAACTTGCATAAAGAATCCAGCAGTCAATGCCTTGCGAATATTAGAATCCAGATGCGTTGTGCTTGACATGATCAACAATCCCATCTTTTGCATCAATCGCCACAACTGTGATCTCACGTTTTCTGCTGATTTCAAGGAGCGAATGTTCAGATAGTTTTCATAAGCCCACTTGGCATCCCTTCCATTCTCCAGATACTGGTTAAAAACGTTCAAGAGTGTCATGTGGTCTCCATCTTCGTGATCAAACTCTGCCTTTGCGGCTTCTGCTGCTTTGCGCTCCTTGTTGGGTCTGATCCATGGATTTGGAACGTTCAGCATGGCAACAATGCTCAAGATTTCTTCAGCACACTTGAACTGCCAAGAAGCCATGAGGACTTTGGAAAACTGTGGATCCAGTGGAAACTCTGACATTTGCTGTCCAGCTCTGGTGAGATTGCCATCGTCATCCAGTGCTCCCAGGTAATTCAACAACTCAAGCGCACGCATCATCGTTTCTGGTGCTGGTGGATCCATAAAGTCAAAGTGCACCAGATCATCAATGCCAATCTTTTTGAGTTGCAAGACAACAGATCCAAGGTTACTACGCAAGATTTCTGGATACGTTTGATCTTGGAGTTCCTTCAGATAAGAGTTTTCCGTGTAGAGTCTGTAGCACTTGCCAGGTCGGGTTCTACCAGCACGACCAGCTCGCTGCTGTGCGCTCGCCTTTGAAATCGGACTCACCAAGAGCGATTCAACTCTCACACGTGGATTGTAGACCTTTTGCTTGGAAAAGCCTGGATCGACGACATAGACGATACCATCAATCTACCATCAACAAAAATACAGTCAAAGATGTTTCAGCAATATTAGTGGACACCACCACTTTTCTGCCAGGCGGTCCTCCCTTTTTGGCACCAGGAGCAGGCAAGAAGATCTTGTTTTGCTCTTTTGGTGGCAGAGAAGAGTAGAGAGGCACAACCATGAGTTCTCCCAACTTGCCAGGAGACATTCGCTGCAGATTCTCTCCCTCTGCTCTGATCTTGCGACAGGCATCTTCAATTTCCTCTTCACCGGTCAAGAAGAGCAAGATGTCACCAGGATCTTCCACAGAGTGGATCAAGAGCACAGTCCTGATGGCTGCCTCCAAGTAGTCTTTTTCTGGCTGAGGTGTGTAGTAAATCTCGACTGGGAATGTTCTGCCAGGCACTGACATCAACGGTGCGTTATTAAAATACTTTTGGAACTTGGCAGCATCCAAAGTAGCAGACATGACAACCACTTTCAGATCTGGTCTCTTTGGTGCAATGTTCTTGATCAAACCCATCAGAATGTCAGTCTGGAGTGTTCTGTCGTGCGCTTCATCCAAAATGATGGCAGAATAGCGGGTCAACATTGGATCTGTCATGGCTTCTCTCAGAAGCATACCATCAGTCATGTACTTGAGACATGTCTGCTCAGAAGTGCAATCCTCAAATCTGATGGAGTAACCGACTTCCTGTCCAAGAGTGACATCCATCTCTTCTGCCACACGTGCAGCAACAGACATGGCAGCCACTCTTCTAGGCTGTGTACAAGCAATCATCAATCCCTTCTTTTGTGGTTGCTCGTCAAACAACAAAAACTGTGGAATTTGTGTTGTCTTACCAGATCCAGTCTCACCCACCAACACAACAATCTGGTTATTGTGAATCAAGTTCAAGAACTCTTGACGTTGCTTGTGCACTGGCAGTGATCTTCTCTGGTCCAGAATTTTCTTGTACTTTTCAGAGAATGGCTTTCCAGTGTAGTAGTTGGTTGAGCCACTCTCCATCTCTTCTGCTTGTTGTGCAGTCGTTCTGCCTGAAACAATACCGCCTTCTCTTGATTCAAGTCTTTGCTTTTTTTTGCTCGACATTCGCAAAGTTTATGTCCCTTGCAAGAACTTGTACAAAGTCATTTGTCTTTGGTTACTTGATTGAAATACTGCCATCTTTCGTCTCTCTGGTCTTGAAAGTGTTGAAACACAAAGCTCGATGTTCAGATCTGAGATTTCTGACTCAAAAATTGAACGGTAACATTTCCAAGTTCTTTGTTGTGTTGTTTGGAGGTTATCAGCTCCTTAAACAGCGACTGAGACCTTACATTCCAGATTCACGCAAACGCACGCAGATTGCATCCATCACAAGCAGTTGTGTCTCACTAGCTTTCATTCACCCAAGTCAAAGGATGGATATCGCCATGTTTCTTGCTGTCAGGTCTGCAGATGCATACGTTCGCTTCCATCACAAGCAGTTCAAGATACCAACGCTTCTCAAGCAAATGACACCAGCACTCTTGTTTCAACTGTCTTGCTGGCAAATCATGTACTCTTGGTTCTACTATCCAACAACACTTCCAAACCAATACAACAAGTGGATATCAAAGATGGCTGACATGGACAGCAGTCTCATTCGATACTTGCGTCAAGTCAAATCTGGAGAGATTACTGTCGGTTTATCAGGAGATCCAACCTATCTGATGGAATCAGCCCAAAAACTCGGATTACCTCCATCTATGGGTGATTTCCGTCTTGGGCCCATCCATCTGACATTGGTGCAAAGTGGCATTCAAGGAACTTGGGACTATATTCGCCATGTGTGGAAGAAAGGCTTTCTCTCGTCGTTGAGAATCTATGTGCCAGTCCATGTGCTTTCTACCATACTCTTTAAGCTCAAGCGCATCAAATCACCGAAGCAGTTTGTAGATTCGGTCAGAATCGCTCTCTTGGGAGCAATGCAATCGTCTTCCTTCTTGGCAACCTTCATCTCTCTGTGTTGGGCTCCCATTCTGGTTTACAGACGACTGCTGCCATCCACAAAAGATGGTCCCTTGCAGCAGAACTTGGCTTCCTTTCTCTGCGGTCTCTCGATCTTTATCGAAAAGCCCTCCAGACGCAAGGAAATGGCTCTCTATGTCTTTCCCAAAGCACTCGAGTCTTTTGCTACACAGCGCGTTCCGCATTGGATTCTGAATCTGCCGCTGCTTTCTCCATTGACTTCGTTTGTCTTGTTTGCCGGCAGCATGTCTTATCTGCTTTCTACTTATGAGTTGGATTCAGATGCTTGTCCTAGAATGGCACATCAGCTCTTTCCACTCTTTCTCGAAAAGTAAATCTGTGCAGATCTTCAACAACACCTGATCGCAACACAGGGTGACAACGGCATGAGATTCATCATAGCATGTTCAAAAAAGCGAAAAAGCATAGCCCTTACGGGGGCTCGAACCCCGGACCTTAAGATTAAAAGTCTCACGCTCTACCAAGCTGAGCTACAAGGGCCACAATCCACAAGTTTTGCAGTTTTAGTGATTCCTGAACAAATGCGGCGGGCGGCTTTTTTTTAAACAGCCAAAAATGCTCAACTTGTTGCGATATTTTGTATGAACGCATCTGCCGAGTACCGAGATCTAATCAAATCTTATCCTCGTTGTCTGTGCGGCATGCGCCGTCACGCTTTCGTGCCTGATTTCAATCGATTCCAAAATGGTTTCTTTCTCCTTTCATTGGAACAGCAAGAAGATGAGTCCACCTTATACCAACGCTGATGAACATACATCTATCAACAAGCCGCTCCCAGTTCCAAAAGTATCGACGTTGACAACAGGAAATCAAAGACAGAGACAACCTCCACCATATCCTCGACGCCAACCAAGAATGGTCCAAGAAAATGCAGGCAACTTGTCCAGAGGTGTTCGAATCGCTCGAACAAGGACAAAGCCCAGAGATTCTCTGGCTTGGCTGCTCTGACTCCAGAGTTGCTCCAAATCTAGTCACTGAATTGGGATTGGGTGACATTTTTGTGCACAGAAACATCGGCAATACCATTCTCCCAACCGATTTCAACGCCTTGTGCGTGATGCAGTACGCTGTTGAACATTTGAAAGTGAAGCACATTGTTGTGTGTGGTCACTACCAGTGTGGTGCTGTCAAAGCAGGCATGGGCTCTGATCGCTTGGGTTTGTTGGACCAATGGTTGGTCCAAATCAAGAGCGTCTATGGTCAGCATTACGACTTGTTGGAGAAACTCGATGAGAAGGACCGCTTCGATCGCTTGTGTGAGTTGAACTGCTTGGCCAATTTCGAGAACGTGTGCAACTCGACGATTGTGACAGAAGCCGTCAAACGAGGTCAGCAGATCACTGTCCATGCCTGGTGCTTCCGATTGAGAGACGGCGTCCTTGTTCCTTTGGCTGTCAAGAACCTTTGAGAAATAAAATCGGTTGGCGGAAGAACTTGGCACTCGGCGTGCATTTTGATTGGTCGCCCAGACGCCACAATTCTTTGCCAAATGTCAACTATCGTCCGACCTTTGGAGCAGAGAACAAGACGCTCCAGGGAAGCTGCTGACCAGAACCGCTCTGTTCACTCAGATGAGAAGGTCAAGGCGTATGTTGTCGATGCACACATGGGATTGGTGCGGTCTAGTGTCTACAGCAACACTGTGGCACTCTATTCCAACGACAGACACACATTCAACTTTTGGAAATCTCTCAATACCAAAATGGTTGGTGTTCCCCAGCCAAGAGAAGTCAAACTCCGCCATCAAGACCAGCAAGCGAAAGCAGCCTTGCCTGTATCTCCGCTGACGTTAGGGAAAAGAAATGGTTGACCCACTGAGTGCAGTCTTGGCAGCAAACAGAGAATGGTGTTCGAGAACAAAAGTGACTCAGCCTGAGCTGTTTGACACGATCGACAAGGGACAGTCCCCTAATATTCTCTGGATCGGATGCTCTGATTCCAGAGTGGCTCCAAATGTTGTGACCAATCTTGGACTTGGAGATCTGTTTGTTCACAGAAACATTGGCAACACCATCTTGCCGACTGATTTTAATTCACTCTGTGTGATGCAGTATGCTGTTGAACACCTGAAAGTGAAGCATATCATCGTTTGTGGTCACTACAAGTGTGGTGCAGTGCAAGCGAGCATGGGAGACAAGCATCTGGGTCTGCTGGACCAGTGGCTAGCACAAGCCAAGAATATCTACCGAGATCATCTTCCAGTGCTCCAAGACATGTCTGAAGAAGCAGCGTTTGACAAGATGTGTGAGCTCAACTGCCTCGTCAATTTCTACAATGTCTGCCATTCCACAATTGTGCAGCAGGCCTTTGAAAGAGGTCAAGAGCTGTCGATTCACGCTTGGTGTTTCCGTTTGAGTGATGGCAAGCTGGTTCCCCTTGCCGTCAAAGAGTTTAGTAAATGTGCCTAGCCCTCACCTTTTTCTTTTGTCAATATCAATCTGTGGAACTCGAGCGTGATCGAAAGGCCCTGACCCACAAAACGGGTCAAAAATGTTGGCCATTTGCTCAATCTCATTCTTTTCATGCTACTACAATACATCAGACACTCTATACAACCAACAAGTGGGAAAATGCAGCATTCGTTGAAAAGTGCTCTCAGGTGTGCAGGATGGATATCAAGACAGTAAGAGAGCTTTCAAGCCCTGCGATCCGGTGGCTGAATGACTTCATTGCAGTGTTGTGTGACAGTGGCGCATGACAAGCCGCACTCCTCAAACGGCAACGCCTTTTCTTCACTAGACAAATGTCCTCTGATACGGTGAATGTTGTCGTTGATAAGCAGAACGCTGCCCAGCGCATGGGTCAGGGTATCAAGAAAGGTGCTCTCAACTCTGTAAAGGCCGTTGGCAGCGTTGTTGACGACTTCAAGGAATTCTTGAACAGAGGCAATGTCGTCGACTTGGCTGTCGGTGTCGTGATGGGTACTGCCTTCGGTAGTGTTGTGACTTCGTTTACCAATGATCTCATCACTCCAATCATTGCATTGGCCTCTCCAGCCTCCAGTTTCGACAACATGTACGTTCCTCTGCGCTGCCCAAAGAACCTGACCTCCTGTGGACCCTCTGTTCTTCCGACTGTCAAGCAGGCCAATGATGCTGGTGTCGTGACTTGGAACTACGGCAAGTTTATCCAAACTATCATCAGTTTCCTGATTATTTCCATCATCATTTTCTTTATTGTGAAGCTGTATGCCGCCCTCTTCCGCAGAAAGAAGCCAGAGACTCCAAAACGCGAATGCCCATACTGCACAAAGGACATTCCACTCAAGGCAACACGTTGCCCAGAATGCACCAGTGATCTCCCTGCTGCCTCCATGAGCGAAGCCAAGCTCGAATAAAATTCTTCATTTGAGTCTGTTTTGACGACAAAAGTTCTCGAGATCTTTTGGATATTTGAGCATCCAACACTGTGTCACTGGATACGTCAACACAGAGAGTCCATCGCGAATAGCATCCTGAAAGGCCATGATACTCGTCAGATTGGACTCTTGGGCAGTCAAACGCTCAGCATACTTGACAAAATCTGAGCCGCGCTTCCAGAAATATACACCGCATGTGGCAAAATCACTAATCACAGAAGTTTCGGACACTTGAACAACACTTCCCTTGTCATCCACTTTGCAGTAAGAGTAACGTGGATGGGTTGATTTGAATGTCGCACAGACACCATCTGCACCAGATTCAAGACAGAATTTGTAGAAATCTTCAGGGTTCCAGTCGATATACTGGTGGCAGTTGGAAATAAACAAGGGTTTGTCGTTGTTGATGACTTCTTTGGCCAGCAACACAGTGTAGATCTGGCCTTTGGTGCCGTTGGTAGAATAATGCACACTTCCAGGGCTGATGGCATCAAACAGGTATTTGAGATTGTACTTTTCATACTCTGAGGCCATTGAGATGAACGTGACTTTTCCAGGAATTTTGATGTTATCCACAACCATCTTGACCATTGGACGACCATTGACCTCTGCGAGTGGACCAGAGTACAAGAATCCAGATTCTTCGTATTCTGGATACTTGAACGCCATCGGGATCACAACATTCACATCGTGTAACGCTCCCTCAGCAGCAGTCTTTTGCTGAGACATATTGATGTGGTGCACACGTAGCAAGAGCTTTTCCAAAGTCACATCGCTTGGATTCTCAACTGGACACAAGTGTGCACCAGACAAAAGAGCGGCTCTCCTTCCAACATGAGAATCTTCGACGACCATCACCTCTTTTGTTGATAGATTGGCACGCATCATCGAATGAATATAGATATCAGGAGCAGGCTTCGGATGCTGTACATCCTGGCATGATAAAATAAAGTCAAAGAACTCAATCAAGCCTTTTCGCAAGAGCATCAGCTGTAAAGTCTTGAAAATCGAATTAGATGCACAGTAGAGAGTGTAACCACGCTGTTTGAGACCACTCAACACCAAGCGGAGTCTATCATCATACTTGAATGTGTCGTTGATGACCTCAAACGTCTTTTCTTGTTTCAGACGCCAAACAGTGTCATGGAGCTCCTTTGGTAGTCCCTTCTCAGCAGTCAGCATGTTCAACTTTGCAGTCGTTGGTCTTCCGTCATATTTGGCCAAATGTTCATCCAAAGGAATCACGTATTGAGGATCTACCTCTTCAAGGGCTCTGTTGAGTGCAAGATAATGCAGCTCTCGACTGTCTACAAGAACACCATCCAGGTCAAAGATAATCAGCTTCACTGTCGGATTCTGCTCTGACATTTCCGGCGCGGCAAGCATTCCGTGGGAAAGTGCAAGTGTTCCAAAAAAATCATCACCACGAAATCAAAAGCAACCATAGCATGCAGGGACAATCGAAAAGAGATTCTACACATGCTAGGTTTGTATATGTTAGAATGAAGACATTTTCATGGCCCTTGTAGCTCAGCTTGGTAGAGCGTGAGACTTTTAATCTTAAGGTCCGGGGTTCGAGCCCCCGTAAGGGCTATGCTTTTTCACTTTTGTTTGATGCATCTTTTTGACTGTAAGGCATTTTATTGCTGAAGGACAATCTTGTCGTTGGATTTGATGGATCTGACCATCTTTTGGACAGTGTCCCAGTTGAATGGCTTTGCCTTGAACTCGCTCGTGTTGCTGGACCACCAGTTGCATGTATCTGAGGGAATGCCCATGGACCATGCTTTGCGTTTGGCAGCCTCCTTTGGACCATTCTCGTTCCTGCGCTCTTTGGTGTATCGCTGGATCTGTGGACAGGCACAGTAGAATGTGAGCCAATCTCGAGCAGACGGCGGACATCCAAAGGGAGTGAAACCCATCTGCCAGCCTGGAATACCCAGATACACATACGACAGACGTAAATAATGTGACAGGCTGTTACAAAGCTCTATTGGCTCATGATACAGCGGTCGATATAGAATCTTGCCGTCATCCTGCATTAATACATGTCCAAAGTGGTCCTGGTCAAGTATCCAGTAGTTGGTGCTGCTCGCGTCAATGTAACTGTTGATCTTGATGC